CTTACATTTTTAAATTAGCAGATACCAAATCTTTGCAAACATATTTAGACAAAGAAAGGATTACCTATGAAATTTATAAAGAGGAAAGAGTTTTCAAAAGAGTATTAGAGAATTCTAGTAAAGAATCAAGAAAAAAAAGAAAACTGGCAGAATAAAAAACTAAAACAAATAATTACTTTTTTTTCAACTTTGTTAATTTTTAATTACCTTTTATTTTCAATCAAGGTCATTTTTTAGTTTCTTTAACTTCAATTTGTGCAGTTAGTTGAGTCTGCTGTCTCTTTAACTGTTCAACTTCACTTTCAAGTCTTTGAATTTTATCTAATAATTCCTGCTTTTGCTTATTATGCCAATCCTTTGAAACTTCTAAGGCTTCCAAATGAGAACTGATTTCTCCCTTAGCACTGGATAGTTGCTGTTTTAAGTCTTTATTCTGCTGTTCCAATCTGCCAACATAACTCTGTGCCACTATTTCTGTTATCATTGGAGTTTTAACTGGTTCACCTTTCCTTAAATCACAGAAGCAGTCTATTCTGTTTCTCATAATTCGACCACAATCATTACAGTGTGGTAAAGTATCATCATCAAGAGCTTTTTTACACTTGACACAGACATAAGCAATGTCATTGTAATCATTATTACTTGTATTGTAAGACATTATTTTGTAAGTAGCAGTTAAACTTTCTCTTTCAAAAGGGCAGAAATTACAATGCCATTTATCTCCCCTTCTTAATTCATTAAACTGGTATTCTAATTTCATAATTTCATACTATTTATTCTTTTGTAAAATATAGGCATTGAATTTTTCTTTGGTTATTTCTTTTACTTGACTAACTTTGGTTTTTACTTTGTTAGTTAGGAGTTTAAATTTGTTTTCTCTCCTTGATAAAACTGGTAGTTCTTGAAGTTGTTTGTCTGCTAAATAATTCTGCCATGCCACAGTGTTTTCTAGCAGTTCTATTTTTCTCAAAGCTTTTTCTAAGTTGTCATCTTTTTCCTTGCTTTGCCTTATTCTCCATTGTCAAGCTACTTCAAGAGCCTCTAAATGACATTCAGATGTTTCCTCTTCTAGTTCTAATGCTTCTTCCAACTCTTGATTAGTTTGTTGTAACTCAACAACCTTTTTTTCTAGAAGAGCATTCTTTTCTTTTAATTCTTCTTTTCCTTGATAAGTAAAACCAAAAGCTTCTTCATAACTTAATGCTTCATGACCAAAACTTTTAACAATGTTTTCAGGAGTGAATTTATCACTGAAAACAACTCTTCCAATTTCAATTCCATTCTTTTCTGGATAACTTACTCAACCATTGTTAGGTCAAGTAAATCTTTCTAAGGTTCTTAAACTAGTTCCAGTATATTCTGAACTTTCAGTAAGGCTGTGAACAGCATTTCAAGTTCTTAAAGTTTTCTTCTTTTTCAGCTAATTGTTTCTTCAATAATTCTATTTCATTCATTAGTGTTTTGTTTGCTTGTTGGTGTTTGTTTATAATGTTTACCATGTTTGTTCTTTTTTTATATATATTCTTTTAATATACTTATATCCTTTTTATAAGGGTGTATTAAGTATATAAGTTATTTTAGTACTTTTTTACTTTAAAGCTAACAATATTTGTCAAAAGATTAAATTTAATGACAGTAAGGGGACAAATTAACAGGTGTGATAAAGTAATGAAGGTGTTTTTGTTCTAAATATTTTATTTGTTGCCAGTATAAAATGGTCTTGGGCAAGTAATATCTTTGTATTCATCTTTCACAAATGGGCGAATATTCTGGTAAAGATATTCTTGTCTTTTGTGATCCAAAGGGGGTGGTGTTAACACTAAAATAGATAAAGTTCTAATTTCTTCAAAAATATTTGCTTTCCTAGTTTTCAATAAATTGAATTCAACAAAAGGTCCATTAGCAGTTTCCTGAGCTTTGACTATACCAAGATTAGGTGCTTCAAAAAGAAAATGTTGATATTTCTGTATACTTGGTAATTTCCTAAAATAAATTCCCAAAATTGCTTTAATATCTAAGTATTGAAATCCTTTTCCACCTTCATAACACTGGACTTTATTTAATCCAGCTGGACTAGACTTTTTTATTACCTCAACCACATGATCCAGACAATCTACTCTTGTTCTTCTATAGAGTTTTTTAATCATTCCAAAATTACCATCACATTTGAATTTAGTATGTCCTGGAATCATGAAATATAATTCAATAGTTTCATAATAACCACAAATTACTAAATATAAATAAAACCAAATTGTTACATTGTTTTTATTTTGTCCCCCAGCATTATCACAAGTAATCTTTAAATGCTTTTCACCTTTATTCAATTTCTTAATTCCATCAAAAATCATACTAAGAGTACCATCAGGTCCTTTTCCTATAATTTCATCTTCATTAAGAACATAATTAATTTGTTCCCTTACTGCTTCATCTTGAATACCAAATAAATGAACTTTACATGGACTAAGATAATAAATTTTACTTACTTGTTGATCTAAATGTGGTACATGAACATTTTGGGCTCAATCATAACTATAATGAGCAGTGGCATCAATACCGCAATATTGTGTGTTACCCTTGGAATAATGTTGATCAACTAATTTTCTTTGTTCTTCTGCTAATTTGGTATTCTTATTATAATAATTTCTTTCTAATCTTGCCTTGGACAAATGTTCTTTGAATCTTTTGAGCAAATCTTTAGCTTCTTCCTCTTGGTGAGCATTATAATGTAAACCATCTCTAAAATGCTGACAAGTATCACACAAATCAGTTCTGGGACTCGTAATTTGAATTTCTGGTGTCAATTGATGTCATAATTTTCTGAAAGCATCATATTTTAAGGATTTCAGTTTGCTATCTTCTTCCAGACCAGCTAGAAAGTCTCTGTGCACTGATTTATAACTCATTTCAGCTGGTAAGAATACAATTGATTGAGTTACTCTGTTAATACTTCTTCCTGGACTTGGTAATCCATGAACTTCAGCATAATTTTCAAGGAAGTTTTTTACTACTTCAGCAATATTTTTATCAATCACCATTTTAGTTTTCCATTGAGGCATCCTTTTAATATTACCATGAGTTCTTGGCAGAAGGCCATTGTTTATCAAATGATTCCTAATATTTTCAAAATAAGTCCTACCAATTCCTAACATGTTGAGATAAGTTTCTTGACAAAGGAGTGTATTGTGATCTCAGTGATAGAAAGTTCTTTTATTAGATCTGGTTTTCTTTTTAAGGCGTCTGCTGGTACTTGTTGATCCACCATCCATGGCTTTAAGTTGGGCCATTAAAAATATGTCTTGTTCAGACTTGGAAAGAGCTTGAAAGGATTCCCTTAATTCTGCAAATTGTTCTTTGGGAATTCTTGAAGAACAACCACAATCACAACCTTTTTCTAAAAACTCAATTGCTTTTTGATATTCATTAGAACCATTATATTTATTATTATTTTTCATATATACACTTATCCCTATATATATAATTTTATGTTCACTTTGTAAGTTTTTATTTTAAAAAGCTTTTATGAACAAGAAAATTAAATGTATTATTTATTAGATTAATAAGCAAAAAAAATATTAAATTTGTATATTTCATTCTTTTCTAGTTATTATTCATTATCAAAACAATTTAGCCAGCCATCATTAGGAAACCACTGTAAAGTTAAAACTTTATCAAAATTACATCCTGGATAAAATAAATAGTGACATTAATAAAAAAAATCAGTTACCTTCACAAAAAAACCTTTGACAACTTTAAGTGTATCAAATGCATTTGGCCGTAGATTTATATTCTCTTGACACATTGATTGTGAAAGTGATAAAAGTTCTTCAGGCAATTCATTAATACCACTTGAAACAATCAAGTATCCAACACCCCAAATGTCAACTGTTACATCATGTACACCTATTAACATTTCAGGAGCATGATTATCTGGATTTAAGTTCTGTAAATTCTCATTTGAAGGAGAAAAGCTGGCAAAATCAAAGTCAATCAAAAAATATTGATCTTCATATTGTATAACATTCGGCCATCGTATATCTCTATGCATAACTGGGTTAGGTTTTATATTATGCAAGCCCTAATTAAATATATATCTTCATATTAGTTAATAATGAACATCAATATATATATATATATATATATCACTAAAAATGGTACCTCTAAACAGGTTAATATACAGATTATAGCTCTCAGTAATTCATTAAGATTTTTTGGTTTCTTCTCTTTTCCCCTTGGCATCAAGTGAACAACATTATCACGAGAACGAATTAATTTATCAATACATTTGATCTTGTAATTCTGTATGAAGTGTTTGTTAGAAATGTAAATTTGAAGACAGAAAAATGAAAAGATATTTTAAACTTACACTCATTAACCCATAAAAATTTTCCAGATGTTTAACTTTAGCTTCTGAGGGAAATGTTTTTTTAATATCATAGCCAATTTCGATATTAGTTCCATTATCACGTATTATGGTTTCAAAATCTGGCAATTCTTTTGAAGGACACATGTTAATTATCATAGGTAGTATGCGACCTAAGCTTTATAAAGTAAATTAGCATTCCTTATAAAGTTCAAAAATCAAAACATGAAAGGACTTACAAATATTCCTAATTAAATTCATTAACTTGAATCTATGTGTTAATTTGTTTAAATCAAATTCTGCAAGTCTCTCACTACAAACGTCTGGGCATTTTCTCTTTCGACTATTGATATTAATAGGTTCTTTTTCATTAATATAAAGAACACAAAAGGTAACAGCAGTGGTATTGGCATAGTATCCAAAGAGATATGGAGTGTCTCCATAATCCCAAGTATTGAATTTATCAATTAATTCCCTAGCAGGTTCTCCTCTTCCACCTTCTCCTTTCTCTTCTCCACGAACAACACAAATGTTTCTCATTAATAAGACAAAATCTGGTCGATTTAGACCTATAAAACTTTTCATTAGTACATGATATAATTCTACTTTTCAGTCAATTATTTAAATAAGTCTACCTGTTGTTGTGTTTCTAGAGGTATTACGATCAAAATCCATTGCTGGCATTTCATTAGAATATTTTCCAAATACTTGTAGTGACTTGCTAATAATAGCATCCCAAAAGGAGTGAAATGAATCTTCTGTTTTTCCTGTTGGAGGAGTGTCAATTAAGCTTGATATTAATCCAGTAAAAAATGCAGTACAACTTTCTGATTTGCTCTCTACAAAATATTTATCACGCTCTGTTGGGTCTATACTAAATGGTCCAATGACTGGAATTGAAGAGAAATTTTCCTTGGAAAGAGGGATTTTCACATTTGGTATCTTATTAAGAAAATATGTAAGTTGATGACGTTCAGGGATTTCATCTGGGGTTTGTAACCAATATTTCATGATTTTATTTGTGGGGTCTAAATACATAATAGGAAGACATGAATGCTGATTAATTTTTGATACTGCATTGTATCAATGGAGATTTTGACTTAGTTTCCAATAAATAGACAGAATGAAATATTTGGACTCACCTGAAATACCTTTAGAGAAAAAAAGATAGGCCAGAAGAAAAAAGCAAGTCAGTTAAAATTGTAAACAGTATACCAAATAAATAAACGAAATGGAATGAATGAAAAACATTTTTTTTTTATGCAATTTATTCGTTACCTTCCCCTCCACCAAATTCTCTTAACGCCTTTCCCCATTCCTCCACCTGATCTCCCCACCTCTTCTTCTCTGCTTCCAACGACTTCTTTTCTTCTTCCAATCTCTTTATTCGTTCTTCCCACCTCTCCTTCTGTTCTACATCATCTCCCCATTCTTTATTGTCTAACTTCTCCTCCAGCTCATCTAACTTCTCCAATTTCTTCTTTTTCCACTCTTCCAAATTCTTTTTCGCCTCTTCATACTCTCCTCTTGATATTTCTAATTCATTTTCAATTTTTTCGTATGTTGCCATTTTTTAAAAATAAAAAATTTATTTATTTAGATCGTAATTTTATAATTTATGCATAATTTCGACCAATGATAAATTAATGGGCACATGACTTGTAATATTTACGAATGACAAAAGAAAAAATAATTTTTTATACAACTCTAATAATAGAGAATACATAAATAATTTATAAAAATGTAAGTTAAAGAATTGTCAGAGTGCTTGCATGGGAGGAAAATACTTGGACCCAAAGCCGTTTTTAAGTAAAGTATTACCTATTCTTTGGGCACTCTGACAAAAATTCAACTTTCACTATTACTACTACTATTACTATTATTATAGATAATATTATTACTAATATTTATATCCTCATCGTTTTTATTATCTTTTTCGACTTCATTCTCCATCTCTTTCTTCTTTTCCTTTTCAACCCATTGCTGAATTGCTTCTGTTGTTTTCTTTCTGGGATTGGTTTTTCGTTGGTAGAAGTTTTTTATTGTAGAAGCAGCAATTTCCTTTCCCTCTTCAAGTAATTCATGAATTTCAATAGCCATTTCATTAAATGAAAAATTGGGATTCAACCCAGTCTTTTTGTCAAATAATTGTTTGAAAACCTTCCATAGATTTTCGATTTCATGTGAATATTTTTTATCATCAGTAAGTTGGTTTATTTTATTTTTAAAATGGCTTTTTCTTGGTTCTATTTTATTGAGCATAGCGGACATTTGAATTTGTCACATGTGACAAAATCGATTGGCGATCTTTTTTATATTGTGTGACCGTTCGAATTCAATTATTTAAAATAGAAAAACATGGTCGTAAATAACATGATCAAAAATAATTGTAAAACCCAAAAAATACTTTACAATAATATACCTTTCGTTGGAAACTTTATTTTGGTTAAAAATAATCCCGTTAATCCCGCAAACTGCAAGATCTCATTATGAATTAAAGATTT